CTCTCTCTCTCTCTCTCTCTCTCTCTCTCTCTCTCTCTCTCTCTCTCTCTCTCTCTCTCGTGCGCACACACACCAGAGAGACAAGCAGACAGAGTCAGTGACTGACTGACTGGATTTAAAAATAAGAGCACTCCGTAATGCTCTGACAATGCTGGTATAAAAGTCTGTAGGCATTCAGCTAGAACTGGTCCCCACCATCACAAGTACTAGTCCACCATGCCTGCTCGAGCACCCATGTGTTTCCTCCAAAACATTTCCTCACAAACTTATATAGTCAAAAAAGCATTACAGTGGCGCATGCAGCTTCACAATCCAGATCTTAGTGCCTCTAGCACCAGGAATGTCTCACACATGAGCTTGAGATAAGTCAGGTTAACTTTTGGCCCAAATGAACCCTGCCTGTTATATAAACCTCCTTGACACAAACCATGAGTATACACTGGTCTTGCTGCCATCCAAGGTATGTCCAGAGGTCCCTGTGAAGAGCCCTCTGTGGATCTGGCCTGGTCCCTGGTGCCTTGTGGCCAGAGAAAGTTTACTATTTTGGGGGATTTCTTTTATCTTTTCATGCAGCAAACATGTATTAAGTCAAAGACACCCATGCCCTCTACTCTTTCCGCAACATCCTGACGAATACAGAAATGGCGACCTGCAAGTACAAAGCGAGCGGGACACGACAGGCTACCATTTTAATCTGAGTGCTGTCCGTCAGCTGCTGCACGGTGTAGGCGTCTTCTGTGTTGTACTGCAGCAGGATCGCCATCTGGAATGTGGATGCCTTCAAGGCCCCCAGAGAAGAGAGAAATGTAAAAACGGGGAATGGTCTCACAGGTACAACCGAGTTTCACAAGACAGTCTTCGAACAGATGCAGAACAGAGAAGGGAACACAAAGCGTCACAAGGCCAGGGTAATGTACAGTCTCCTTAAAGTCACCTTTGGAACACTGAGGGACTTGCCGTTTCCTCCTGAAACTGTCCTCTATACAAAGATAGCTACATAAGCATCCCCATGCTTGTGCAAATCCACACCAGGTCTAAGACATTAATTATGAATTATATTTTTATATAAAGTAGAACAAAAATGGTTTTTTTTGGTATACACCATGTATATATTATGTGTGTGTGTTCAAGTTGATAGAGACCTCCAGACCAGGGATAATGGCTGCCTCATCAATGCAAGGGTTGAAAGGTTAAACTAGTGCAGTTTAAGTCACCATTCTAATGCTCAGAACTCCAAGAAATACTTGCCCCCAGGCCAAAGAATACGAGCTCAGCTCACGTGACCATGGCAAGCATGCTTTACTCTCTACACTGCTTTGTCAGAGGATGGATTCCATCTCACTGTCTGAGTTATCTACCAGGATTTCTATAATTTGTCTTATCATCATTTAGTACTAAAGTACCTCTCCCCCATTAAAAGATGATTTTACCTGCAAAGTGTATCTGTTTTTGAAGCAATTGGTGACTAGTTCCCCTTTGGATAGTTGATACAACCATGTCAGTTTTCTGCCGCTGTGACGGCTGGCGTAGAAAGCTGTAAATCGCTGATAACTGCGCTCCAACTGGATGAAAGAAAGGTGCTGCATGGCATCGATGGCTCTACATACTACAGTCAGCATTTCTAAAGAAAGCTCCCTGCCCCAAGTTCTGAGAACAAAATCAGTGCTCACAGAGAAGTGAGCTACAGCTGTCGGGTGCAACTGTCTCGCGAGCACTGGATGGAGCTGAAGAACAGAACCAAGCAGGGCTCTGCTTTAGCCCAGTAGGGACCAGAGAATTTACATGCAGTCAATGAGAGTCCCCACTTTACAGGAGGTGACCAGTCTTCCACTACCCAACCCAGCCCCATTTCACATTCTTTATGAACACTGCCCTGACTGCTTAGCAGAGAACTGCAGTCAGCACACCCATGGCCAGGCTGCCCCTCTCCACCCAGCTGAAAGAGACCAGGTGACAACTCTTACCTCTGACGGCAAGGCAAATGTGCAAGACTGCTGAAAGGGCCACGACCCGGAACTGAGGACCTGAATGCTGAAGTCCACTGCAGGTGGGAACACATTTAATTAATCTTACAAATTTAAAAATCCTCTTGTTTCACACACACAGGAAATGGTCAAAATTAAAAAAAAAATACATTAGAAGGCTTGCTTAAATATAAAATTAAAATCTGAACATAGAGTTTCAACTTATCCAATTAAAATTAGTAAAAATGGAAGCCTAACGTGGAGATGCACACTTGTAATCCCAGCATCAGCCACAGGAGACCCATAGTCCCAGGCTTATAGGCTACACAGCCAGATGCTCTGTATCAGAAACTCTAACTGGAAGTTGAGCAGGAAGCTGCTTTCCTCCAGGACAACAGTTTCCACTTCATTGTCAAGTTAGAGTTCCAGTCAAGTCTGCCTTGTTCAATTTCTGCCCCCCCCCCTTGATATTAAGTTCACCCTGCTCAAGCTGTGTGTGGTGACCAAACACAAGGACGTGGAAAGCTCCACAGCGAACAACTACACACATCAGAGCTGTGCAGCCTCACTGCTGTGAAGACAGGAGACGTATAAGCTAAGAGTTGGGGCAATTTCATCTTACAGACAACCTTGATGTTCACTAGCAAAACTGTTAAGCTTAATGATGACAGAAGTTCTGATTTGGGAAAAATAAAATTCTCCAACTTTCATCAAAAACATGAGAGAAGAAAATAATCAGAAATGTATTCAAACTAAGGTTCAAAAGAAGACTAGACAAAACAACCGCACACATCAGCAAAGCCCAGGTCAGAACTGTGAGGTCTGGTCCTGACAAAAGCTGCCATGCTACCATCCTGTGAGTTAGGAAACCCCTGCCTCTCTGGAATTCTGACACCCTCCACCACCCTCACTCCGTCCTGTCACTGCTCTCGTCTCATGGAGAGCCCCAAAAAGTCTGTCTATGAGCACTCAATACTCACAGTCCAGTGGTTCTGAATTCGTTAGGTGCTTTTTGAACTGCTCATTCAGATCTTTGCTTACACCAATGTCTTGAAACATTCGCTGAAGTTTGGAGGTGTACTCAAAACCACAAGCTTGCTGAAATGAACCCAGGCAACTGTCTCATTAACTCTTACATAAACACGAATGTATACAATGTATTAGAATCAAGTCACATCATGGCTAAAACCCCTTTAATTACTTTTAAAACTTCTTTTTTAATTAAAATTTTCATAAAATATATTCTGATCATGGTTTCCCCTCCTTCATCTCCATAAGCGAAGTTTTAGAGAAATCACAGTACAATATATCTTAGTTGTATGAAACTACTATTAGTGCTTAATCGCATCTTATGGTATATTCATCAAAATTAGCATGTCATAAAAAGATTAAAAATTGAACAATTATGTTTTCAATATACAGTAAGCATACTGCAACATTTAAAGCAAGGTGTTCTACCACTGCAACAGACTGCAAGTAGGCCATGATCAGAACCAGGTGCAGTGATATGCATCTGAAAGCCCAGTACTCAGGATGTGGAGGCAAAAGGACCACACATTTGAGGCTAGCTTAGGCTGTCTTAAAATGTCTCAAACCACCCCTTCTTTGTCCCAAATAATCTGTTTGTCCCTTATCCTACTACCGAACTGTCTCCTCTAGAATGTGCCTGAAGTTTAAACCTCTGGGCTGGAGGTGTTTGGAGATGGGCCCTTGTGAGTGATAAGCGGATGCTGCCCATGAGTACTCTGCTAAGTGAAGAGGTTGACTGTGAGACAGAAAGACGGCCCAGGAACAAGACTTGATACCCCAATTTTAGACTTCTTAGCCCCCAGAACAGAGACTTAATTTCTGTGCCTAAGTCACCTGGTTCATGGAATTTTGTTTTGGCAGCCTGAGCTAAGAAAGTCACTAAGCATCCACTCAAAGTCAACAGAGCTGAGTGTATGGGAAGCAGGTGAGGATAAGGAGATGGGGAGCAGAGCCCAGCCAAAGGGCCACGTAAAACAGAAGGGTCCCAAGACAGGGTTGCAAAGCAGAGAAAGCACTGCAGGCGTGGCTGGGAAGCAGGGCTCACACGCAGAAACTCCTCGTCCACTGACAGCATGGAGAGACTAATAACCACACCAATAAAGCCCGACAAGTTGGAGTTCTGCAGGAAAAGAGCAGCACCTTTAACTTGGAGATCATGCTTGCTTCAGCATCATCACTAGCACTGTTCTGATGCACCAGTCTCTTGGCAAGCATCTTTGCATAGAACTTCTGAAACACATCTTTGTCCTCGATGTACTTGAAGACCACCATCTGGCAAAGCCAGAGAAAGAACACATTAGTGAAATAAACTCTCAAGCGGATTATCTCTGGCTACCACCAGGAGCCAAGGATTGCTTGGTTTTGGGTGGGCCTGTGCACTCTCCTGTAGTCAGCATAAATTCGCCTCAAAATGTTTATAATAAGTACTGCCATCCCTTCCTTGAATCCCAGTGGATTAAACTAGACTTGGTAGCAAGAAGCAAAGTACTAGGGCTGGAGAGATGGCTCAGTGGATTAGAGTACTTGCTGTTCATACAGAGGACCTGACTTCCCTTCTTAGCACACGGCGGCACACAACCATCTCTAATTTCAGTTCCAGGGAATTGGACACTAGGTACACATGTGGTGAATAAACATGTGCAGGCAAAATACTCACACACATATAATAAAATACATCAATCTTTGAAAAATTAAGTGAAACAAAAAAGGAAGCAAAGTACCAACACTGAAACTAGTCACTCAATTTTAGGAGTAAAGCCATAAATTCAAAAATCAATGCCTTTCCTCTCCACATTTCAGGCTCCAGGTAAGCAGCCTCACAAAGGGCAATGGGGGTGCCCAAGAAGCACCTTACCACTTGATTGAGGGTGTCTTCTAGTTCTGCCTCTTCTGGGTTCTTGGAACTGAAATGTAAAAGGGCAGGATGTTTACAAACAAGCCAGCAGATGTGCACACACACTACTCTGCCAAACTGGCAGGGCTACATGCGGTTTCAATGATGAGCTGTCAGATCAGCTGGTGAGCAAGGGGAGGTCACTTTCCTATGGCAATTTGGCAGTCTCACACTGTGTCCGATCATGGAAGAGATTATAAATAGTCACGACATCTAAGATGAAAATCAACAGAATTATCAAGTTTTCCTTTAAGATACCCATTTAATTGTCAGTAAATGAGTTTCATTCTTACAACTGCTCCCTACAATCTCTATACTTTTATTTTTAAAAAATGAAAAGAACACATAGTTTCTGTTTAATTGCCAAATAGTTGAAGACAATAAAAGGTATGAGCCATGGGTGAGGTATGTTTTCATCTGTGGTCATATCTTTAAAATTGATTAATTTAGTCTATGGATATAATTACACAAAGGTGAACTAAGAGTAAATTGGTCTTTAAAAAAATTTGGTAGAAGGATCCTGTGAAATGAACTGGTTTGCCTCAACTCTAGACAAAGAACTTCAGACCACTAAAGGATGTAAAGAGCAGGAGATATGGTCTTGCCAAGAACAGAACACCAGTTGGTTATCTAATACCAAATGCCCAGCCCTGAAATCATATACATATCTGTAACATTATACAGACTGAGCAGGGTGTAGCTTTAGGAACACAGCCACAGTCATCACCCTACCACCAAACAATAACAACAAACAACAATAATTAAAGAAAAAGAAGCCATTAAATTTGAAATTATGTGGGTGGGGGTGTAATGTAGAAGGGGGTTTGGAGGGAGGAAAAGGTAATTATATTATAATCTCAAAAAACAAGAAAACAAAACAAAAAAAACCCAACCCAACTCAAACAGAAAAAAATGAGCTGGTCACTAAACAATCTCTAATCAATGTGATCCTGTTGCTGTTTTCAGACCACCTCCCGACCACCCGTGCTTATCATCCAACTCATGGAAATCCTCCTGCCTCAGCCTGAGTGCTGGGATGACAGGTGTGCACTGTCATGCGCACTATGAAAAGGGGTTCTCAAGAGATGTGGCTCAGCAAACCTGGCCCCGTCCTGTCTTGGCAAGTCAGGTAGTTGTTCTCTCCTTGTGGCTCAATGCCAACTAGACTTTGCTCACCAACACACGCTTGCTAAAGGAGCTCTCTGGAATGTTATTACCATTCAGTTTTAATAGCCATAACTAATTGGTTGAAGACAATTATGGGCACACAATTGTTCTGTCACACAAACTGAAGGCCTCATGGACTAGCTCTGAATTTAAGTCACTTAATCATCTACAACGGCCTGAGAAGCAGAATCAGGTCCGAAGAGGCACAAGTGTCCTTTCTCCAAACCAGCAAGATGGTGTTTCTCGCCAAGACTGATGACCTGAATTTGATGCCAGTATTTAACATTGTAGAAGGAGAGAACTGATTCTGCAAGTTGTCCTCTGACCTCTACAGATGCACAGTGACACATAGCCCCCAAAATAAGTAAATAAAACATAATATAAAATATAAAGTCCCTTTTCCTCCTTGGAAAGAATACATAGTAAGTGCATCTGACTAGAATAAATAATGTGACTAGAATAGATAAATAATGTATCAGGCCAGCATGACAATACACAGAAAGATAATAAAATACTCAAGTTCCCACTGGCTCTGAGAGGACAGCTTTCTGGCAAAGCTAAAAGCAACGGCTATTAAAAAGTAATTAATTTTTAAAACGAGAGATAGCAAGTGACCTTTACTCAATGTTTGCCCACCAAGTACCAAGCAGACAGCACAGATGTGCTACCACTGGGCCATCATCACAGTCCAAAGATGCTGTTGATTTGTTACCTTAGAAAAAAAAATTTGTGCATGTGTGTGTGCCTGGTTGTCTGTATTGAGCATCATATACCCACAGGAGCCCACGGAGGCCAAAAGAGGCCACATTCTCTGGAACTAGAATTATAAGTGTTTGTGAGCTGCCCAATGTGGACACTAAGAACTGAATTCAGGTCCTCTGCAGGAGCAGGAAGTGTCCTTAACAACTGAGCCATCTCTCTGGCCCTGATAGTGAGACTGTCTCTGCTCACATCGGCATTTGTGGGTGTTCTCTTAAGCCTTGGAGAGCTTTTAAAAATACAATATACTGGCACCATAACTAGGGGGTCTGTGTCCCCTGCATAGCATTTGGCGATATGGCATGTGGGACACTGAGGCAACCTTGAACATTTTTGGACCAAAAGAAACTGTGACAGGGAGAGAAGCGGAGGGAATCAAGGCATACACAAGTAGGGGAACATAACACAGAGGAGGAAGCCATGCCTGACCACACCTCCTCCATCTCAGAACACAGGTAAGAAGATTAGGAAAAGTGTCAGGTAAGACATAAAGTGACTGAAAAATACACAGCACAACAAACAAACAAAGAAAAACAAACTTTAAAGTATGCAGATGGCCAGACATGGTGGTTCACTCCGTAAACCCAGTATGTGGAAGCTATGCATAGGAGGACTTGACTGGTGGGAGTTGAGGCTAGCCTGTGCTACCTAGCAGCTCTGTCAAAAGCCAAGTTTGTAGACCAAAACATAAAGCGAATCATAGCATTCAGGCTTCTGCTGTTCAGAGCCAGTGGGAGCTGATGCAGGTTTCAACAAATGTGATGCATCGCAAGCAAATGCAAGACAAATACTGATTCCTCGTATAAAAATTGAGGTTTAAATAGGGGTACACAAAAAACACAAAACCAAGCCAGTACCTTTTCTTCAACAAGGAGTCACAGTACCGAGCAAGCAGCTCAGGAGATTTACTAGATGACTGGGCCATTTTGGTAACCGCATTGTTGTTTATGAAGCGACCGCAAGCCTGTGTTGTAGAAAAGACAGTTAGAGGAAAGGTGTCTTGTTCATACACACTGAGCAGGCAGCACAGCGACATGTTACTGCTTACCTTATCAAGTGCAGCCACGAAGCCAGCGTCATTGTTGAATGCTGACATCACCAGGGCATTGTATTTCTTATGAACATCCAGAACGGTCTGCACATACATCTTTGGGTCCTTGGTCGAAGGGAAAACCGGAAACACACAGGAATTAAAGTGCATATTCTGCTGCTGCTGTAAAACATTCTCCAAGTTTTAACTATATCTTCAAAGAAGTTAGTAAGATCAGAATGCATTTGGTTCCACCACTGAAACACACAGGACATCATATTTATGTATAAACAAAACAATTCTCCAGATTAAAAAAAAACTGGAAAAGATCATGAAAACATTTTCTCTTTCAAAAATGACAGCAGGTCTGAACACAGGTAGGGGTGCACAACGGCAACGGTGTCGCCAAGGCAAGGGACAAGCACTGGGGACGTGGCGGTGGGCAACAGACACTCTTCAGACAGAAGAGCACAGTGGAAGACTAGTCCCCAGGAGAGCGTGCTGCATGCTAAAGGAGACAAACAGAACTGGTGGAAAATAAAGGCGATGGACGATGGAGGAATCGCACGGTATCAAGTGTTGATCAGCAGTCAATGTTTGCAGGCCAAGGCAGGTACCGTTTCTAATGCCCATTTTAGATGGTTCGCTAAGGTACACTTCTTACTGAGTTAAATGGCAGCAGAGCTAAGCAGGGACTCAGGTAGATGACTCCTGAATCTGACATGTTCTCTTCATGTCAGTTTTCAGAATGGAAAAGGCCCAGCTAATGAACACATGGCAGAAAGGTCTTTGACTAGCCCTCCTAACACTGGAGCTACAGGTACAGAAGTGAGCTGTTCTAGCAATGCCTCCAAATTCCCCATGTGTCACTTCACAGTTGATACTTAGGAGACAGTATTTCTCTATGTAGCGCAGACTGATCACAGACCTGTGATCTTGTTGCTTCCCCTGCTGGGATTACAGGTATACCACTGTATCCAGACCCCAGTTCCTGACACACTCTCATGTATAATTCAGAAATGAGAAAAGAGAAACCCTTGAATACAAATTACTTTACATTTTTTGTAAAATTTGTTTTAAAATTAATGACTGGTAAAACCAGAACTATATTATGCAATTACTCTCTATAAGTAGCAGGTATGTATTGTTTAAAATACAATAAATGCAAAATTATAATAAAAATATATAGTGTGGTAATATAATTTCACTGAGATAGAAAGATAGTCTTTACCTGATATAGTCAGATAACCTGGTCCATCTCATGACAACTATTCCTGTGTGTTGCACAGATGGTACAATTCTAAAGAAAGCATCCAAGAGCACCTACAAGCTAAGTATGCATGCACCTTACTTCATATGGGTTTTTCTTTTTTAAGCAATGCATTTTTTCCTTCGCTTGATTTAATTTTGGTTTGTCATTAAAGCCCATATTCCTTTGGTGGATTCAGGTTTTACATTGCTTTCTGATCTCACATCAAATTCCTACAACGCTCACACACTCTTCCCTTACAATCTCTACAGCTACTGGTTTTACAAGGAACTCTATCCTACAGTGAGCATCCAAACAGGAAAATGCAGTAACCACTATTGGACCACTCAGATCCCATATGGAGGTTAGCATCCTTGCTAAGAACCAACTGAATATCAAAACTGCCAATTTAAAGACTCAAGATTGCTTATAAAACCTGTTACTTTGGGGACTACCACTCACAGAATTCATAAAAGAAATATTATGTGTATATATGTAGAGAATAAAAGGAGTATTATGTATATAGACGTTCTAGAACTTAAAAGGAATGACTCAAGCTTATCAGTGGAGGGGTGATAATCTTCCCCCAGGCACCAGCTCTCCTACTTGACTACAGATAGATTCCTGGACACCAGTGTAACTCTACATTCACTGTAACGTGCTAGGAGAATCACAACCCTTTCTTTGGCTTTTTCCCTTTAAATTTTTCTCTTGGATTCGGGATTTAGAAACAAGTTTTTCAGTAAATGCCTGGAAGAAATTCCCATATGGAGATGCAAAGCTTTGCAAAGAATAAAGCAGCTTGCAGACTGAGTCTAGATTCTTCATAATAGAGAAGACCCAGCAGAGTAGGCTGACATAGTGGAATTGACAGGAACCCTCAAAATAATGTGCCGAGATAGAAGTCCCGGAAAAGCAGCTCTAATAATTTCATTATTATCGTGTGTGCGCATGACACGCTGGAATATCAACATAGCACCAGCGTGGAGTGCAGATGACAACTTTTTGGGGTCAGTTCCTTTCTTTCATTGTGGACCCGAGGAATCAAACTCAAGATGTCAGGCCTTTGGCCTCCTTCCCATCAAGCCATCACGCTAGTCTTGGGTTTTGTTGTTTTTGTATTTTTGGGGGGCAGGATCTCAATATTCAGGTTATTTGCCTATGACTACATAGCCAAGGGTAGCCTTACTGCCTCTGTCTCCGAGTGGAAGACTTACAGACATGTGCCGCCACATGTCTTTGAGGAAAAAAATTAGGTTTAGGTGGTGCACGCTTTAATCCCAACACTTGGGAGGGAGATGATGGCAAATGGATCTCTGTGACTTCAAGGCCAGCCTGGTCTACAAAGTGAGTTCCAGGACAGCCAGGGCTACAGAGAAACCCTGTCTCAGAAAACAAACAAACAAAAAAACAAAAAGAAAAAACAACCCCAAAACAACAACAAAACCCAAAATGAACATAATAGTGCTAAGACTAGTTCACATCCATCGTAGTGCATGAGAGGATTCTTTTTCATATAAGAAAAAAAAACTTCTCTCCGTCCCAAAGGACCTTATTCAATGTCCATGATTCTAAAAGCTGTTATTACATCCATGACTGCCGCATCTAACATCTAGATCACAGTCCCCACCAACTTTGCACAAACTGCCCTTCAGAGGTCTTGTGATTGTCTATTTCCTAAGCTAAAAATAATGGACTGTCCCCTGTCACTGTCATTTCATCTTAATTGTTTCAACAGAGCCTATTGCTATTCTTACAGTCACTCTTACTAATTTCAACCACTTTCTAGATGAAGTAATGTTCTGAATACAAATTCGGTCTTATCAAGTGCATGGTTATTAATAATAATACCCTTAGCAGCTTTCCTTGTGCCCTTAAGGTGGAGTTGACATTTACATGCTTGCAAGTTCTCCCAACATCTGCTCAGCCATCTCTACCTTCCCAGTCTCTCTTTTATCCTCTGTTTTACCTCTTAGACTGTGCTTATCTGGCATAGGTGACTGGAGACAGTCAGCATTGACCTTTGGCCTCTACATCCATTTCTACATACACATGTAAATACCCCCAGTTCGAATGCACACACAAGGTGGACCAACAACACTAGTCTTCCAAAAGGCCTGAGTCAGGCATTGGGGCATCATAGTAAGATGACCTGAGACAAGAGGAGGCTACCCTAGCCTGTATAGTAAGACTCAAGACACCACATCTGAGATCAGCTGTGATACTAAATACTATAACACGCAATTCCTTTGGAACCAGAATACTGTTAAAAGAGTAAACTGGGATTCTACAGGTTTTTAAAGAAACATCTCTCACTATTTCTACGTATAAATTTGTGTTCTCAACATCTTTTCAACCTAAGCCTAGAGCCACCTTGCAGGGCAAAGTTTGCACCTGCATTTCTCCCAGGGCTACGGGCTAATGAGAGCCAACTGTTACATGAGTTTTTTCTGTCTTACCTCTGGATAATTTGCCTTTGGGAAGTTAGGGGAAAGAAATCAACGTTTGTTCCCAGGAAAAAGCAAACACTTCATATAAACATCTGGGAGCAAATGTGTGACCCTTCTCCATAAGCACCTGGTATTCAGCTTAACTTTGCCTCCATATAAATCATCTATCACAGCATAAAGCTGAAGTCTCAGAAACACTCTCACCACAAACCATCAACTGCAGAGAAAGGAACAACAGGCTGTTTGCAGCACACACACTATATGCTTAACCCTGAATTTCCTTTCTCTATCAGCCACCAAGACACCCCACGACCATGAGTGTTCAGGAATATAAATTTTTTCTTTCCTTTCTCTCTCTTTCTTTCCTGCTTTCCTTCTTTACTTTCCTTTATCCCCCCAAGACAGATTCTACACAGCTCTGGCTGTCCTGAAATTCACTGTGTAGACCAGGCTGGCCCTGAACTCAGAGCTCCATCTGCTCTGTCTCTTGGGTGCTGGGATTAAAAGTGTGTTACCATGCCTATCTATAACTAATTTTGATATTAAATAATTGGGGAAGAAAAGGGAAATAAACATGTGACTTAGCACAAACTTATATTTTCTTAATGGACTGTTTTTCCTTTGACCAATAAGCAGAAATAAGACTGCATGTGGCGTACAGTCTGGAAGAGAGACAAATGCCAGTGCTGTAAGATACTCTACCTCATCTTATTATTACAACCTCTGTTTGCTCCTTTTTGCTCCAAACATTTATGCCTGGCCTTTGATCAGTCAGCTCTAAGTTTCAGACATAATGAACAACTTCTGGGTTTGTTTGTTAAGATATGGTCTTATTCTATAACCTAGGCTGGTCTAAAACTGACCAGGTAGCTTAGGTTTCCTTGAATTCATGGCCCATCCGATCAAAGATGGGCAGCAACAAACAACTTCAGTGACAGGTTTCTAGCTGGCCTTGAACCAACCAGGGCTCACTTTAGCACTGCCACTGCACAGCACAGTTTACATCAGAATTTACTTTGATGAGGTATAAAGACTGACTTGGGAATGAACTGTTTCCACAGTCAGTTTGCTTACAGAAGCGTTAAAATCTTTCTTTTGTTGGGGAAAAAAAATGAGTATCCTGGATATAAAATGATAGCTTGGTCAGGTTAGATTAAAAATAATATTGTATATTTTTCTTTTTTTGTTTCATGACAAAAAAAAATTAAAATATTCTTATTCACCTGAGGTCACAGACCTATCACACACAACCTTAAGGTAAGCAATGGCCCAGTATAATGCCATCTTCTGGCTGCTCTAGACACTGTACCTAGGAGTATAAACCCACTTTTGACACAGTGAAAAACACATAAATAAAAACAAGATGAACAAACAAATAAAAAATAAGAAGCTAGAGAGCTCACTCAGTGGTTAAGATCACTGGTTGGCCCTTCCAGCGGATCAGGTGGTCAGTTCCCAGCACCCACATAATGGCTCACAACCATTCTTAACTGCAGTTCCAGGGAGGTCTGCAGGCCCCTCTATTGACCTCCTCAGGCATACAAACACTCAGGCAGAAACACTCATACACACTAAAATAAGGCAAAAATAAAACAGGAGATTATTAATTCTTTTTTTTAAACATGTAATTTAACCTTTTTTTTTGTTAAGTATTTATTTATTTATTATGTATACAATATTCTGTCTGTGTGTATGCCTGAAGGCCAGAAGAGAGCGCCAGACCTCTTTACAGATGTTTGTGAGCCACCATGTGGTTGCTGGGAATTGAACTCAGGACCCCTGGAAGAGCAGGCAATGCTCTTAACCACTGAGCCATCCCTCCAGCCCTGAGATTATTAGTTCTTACAAAGGTGCTGGAGAGGGCTGGTGTTGGTTGTGTAAGCCTTTAATCCCAGCACTCAGAAGGCAAAAACAAAGAGGCAGGTAGATCTCTGTAAATTCAAGTCCAGCATGAGCTACACAATGAAATCCTGTCTTTAAAGGGGAAAAAAGATGCTAGAATAATTTAAGGATTTTGAGAACTTCCTACTTTCAAAAGTCAAAACAGGCTCTCTGGGCATGTCAGTAAAATCTTAACTACAAAGATGCATGGCATACACCTGCAGTTGGCATGTGAAAATAATGGGCTCAACTGCATTCAGTCAGGCACTACTTACATTTAAAGCAGCTTCTCCACACTTCTCAATTGCTGCAAGACCCTGATTATGAATATGTGTCTCTAGAAGTTTTTTCAATTCTCCTAGGCCATCCTGAATTCTAGATACAAGATTATACATGCGGCCCAAATCTGAAAGAAAAAAGGAGCCAATTTTATGCATGGAAACCAACTGTGCATACCTGTTCTGCTTATTACAAGCTTATATCAAGTGAAGATACTGAGAAACAAGAAACCAGCTAGATCTGGTGTGTTTTGTTAAACCTGACAATGAAGTCAGGCTATTAGAAGTTTATTCCTCCTTTACCATGAGAATCCACTAATGTAACAACAGAAAAAAAAGTACTCAATACCTTCTAAAACCCTAATGAGATAATATGTTCCAAAAGGTACTAAAATAATTGTTTTTAAGTTAAATAAGCTTAATACAGATACCCATTTCAACTATAAGTAATGGAGGGATCCCCCAATAGTCACTTCATATACGTGTTCAATCTATGATGGTTAAAGATGGGAAATCCTAAATCCCAGAGCAACGTGACCAAACCACTGACAGTTCTACTAGCATAGAAGGGACAATTAAGGTAGGTGAAAACATCTTTTCATTTTGTCAAAGGAAGAATACTCAAAAGAACAAAACAAAAAATCTGTCTACTATTTAGTAGTTCCAACAAAAGTATAGGAACAAATTATATTCACCTTCATTCTTGTCAGCATCCAACAAATTCTGGAACTCTGTGTGGAAGATTTCCAAGTGTTTTTCGATGAGGACCTGCTCACATTTCCGTGCTAACTCATCTTGCGTGCTTTCATGGAGGTAAACTTGCACTCTCCGCTGTTCCTCAAGCAAACGAGCCTCAGCCTGTAGAGAATTCCATCAAACCATTCATGGTTTGGTTTACTTTTAAAGAATTATTACGTGAACAATGACACATTAAATTCACAAATATGCTCTAGTAAAGTATGACTAAGAAAGGGGGAAAGGACTTCAGACCACAGGGTGACTGACAACTGACTGCTATACCTCTGGTATGCTCTACTCTCTTTGCAATGCAGGCTCTAATCCTTCAAGTGCCCTAAGAACATTATTTAAATTCATAGTTCAACTGTCTTCATACCATTTTTCTTTGGGTAAGTGGTATTTCACATTTTGGAGGCAATGACGCACATTCCTGTAAGCACAAGAGACACCTGCAGGTCTGTCCACATGGGGACACTGAATTAAGAAGTACTATTTTGGTTTGAAAGCTGTTTGAAGTAAAGGGCCACACCAATATAATCTCAGAAATGACCACTCAGGAATAATAATCAGCAGTAATGAGGGAAAAAAAAAAGAAGGAAGGAGAGGGAAGAAGGGGGAGGGAGAGAGAGAGAAAATGGATATAGATATTGTGTTTCTCTTGCCAATCACCGAACATGTGCTTCAAAAGCCCACTTGGCCACTTAAGAATCTCAACTTCTTGGATTTCTCTTCAAGGAAAAGAGGCTAACAGACAATATAACTCAACAGAAACCCAGGTAAAAGACAGTGTACTTTAGAATCTGTCACCAGAAATATGTGTGGCGCAGTCACTGAGAACTAACATGATCAGAGTAAGCTAGAAATGTCAATGACAATCTCGAATCATTCAGGTGACCTGAATAAAAAAAGACAAATGCTTATTTTACTCTCCACAGAGACCTCTCAGATTTGGTATAACTGTGGATAAATCCGGAGAATTATCATCGGAATTGAATAAACATTCAATACTAAGAAACAACTGAATAGACAGAGCTTGGATCATCAAAGGTAGGTAGTTATTAAAGCACAGGAAAGCTAGAGCCGCAGCATATACTCACACACACTTGGCAGAGTAAATTTAAACACAACAAACTGCATATGCATCACAAAGCCTCAACACAGCTGGGCGGTGGTGGCGCACGCCTTTAATCCCAGCACTTGGAAGGCAGAGGCAGGCGGATCTCTGTGAGTTAGAGACCAGCCTGGTCTACAAGAGCTAGTGCCAGGACAGGAACCAAAGCTACAGAGAAACCCTGTCTTGAAANAAAAAAAAAAAAAAAAAAAAAAAGCCTCAACACAGAATGACCTCTAACCTCTAATCAAGCATAAGTACAGCAAAAAAGTCAGGACAAGGGAAAAAGATAAGCCACAAAGAAAATGAAAGTTTTGAAGTTAGTAAATTTCTAGTAAGAAACTTAGTTAAAATTCAATATATGCTAAAATAATTTATAGCACACTATAAATGAAATATCCACTAAAATATACTAAACCATTAATGCTTAAGTTCAAACAAAACAAAGAAAACAGCCACTACCAGTATCCCCAAAAGAGCCTGCAGCAACATTCCAGTCTAGTAAGTGTCCCAGGCTTGTGGGTTTGTCATTGCATATTTCAGAGTCTTTAATTTGTATTTTTGTTTCTACAGAGTTCTTTCTTCTGGAACAATAAATTCCAGGTTCAAGCTCCGCTGATGGGTTTCATTCCATCTGATGGTGAAGAGCAAGAGCAGACACACTAAAGCACCGCTCTTCCTGTTTTAAGTTACACCCGTTTCTTGGAAGAACGCAGGCCATCCTGTCCAGGAACACAAAGCTTTTACTCCTGCTCAGAAGGCTAGGCTTTGATGTCCTTGGGGGTTGGTAAGCAAACTAATGAAGTAAATTATCTTATGTGAAAGAATGTTCAGGCTCCATGTATGTACGTACGTATGTACACTATGTATTCAGAGGCCAGAAGGTTGCTGGATCCTTTAGAACTGTGGTTACAGATGGCCGTGAGCTACCATGTAGGTCCTCTGCAAGAGCAACACCTATTCTTTTAACTGTTGACCAATCTCTCCAGCCCATATTATTTTTAAATAATAAAAAATAATAGGAATATAGAATATTCAAACAAGTCCATTTTTTTTGTTTTTAATAGGTCAGATTAGTCTCAATCACATGAGACATATTTTAAAGTGTTAAATGGCTTGTAGCTATTTAGCCATCAAAGCCATCCTTAGATGGACCATCAACTGTTTGCACTAAAATACTCCTGATGACAGCAAACTAACAGAGACTGTGAACACCTAGCCCAAATAGGCTGTTGAAAGCAGGGCATTTCCTGAAAGCTCATTTTCACCTAAGTATTATTCTACTGAGATGTCCTGTACTTGATTGTATTTGTGTTCTAACTGCAGAAGTGAGCAGTGGCAGAGGAGAGAGCATGCAAAGCCTAAAGGTATTCACTGCTGGCACTGCATAACAGAAAGCTTGCTGACTCCTGACAGTCATGCCTCAGACACTACATTCAGAAGATCTGAATTTCCAAGAAAGAGCAAAGAAAAATCTTACAAGTCCATAGAAAAATAATCACATAGTAAAATAATGCATGGGGGACACACAGCTCTACCTTGGTTCTTCTCCAAAGTTAGAATTTAGATCCTCCTTCCTAATATAATCTTCAAGACTAAGCTACAGGGCTGGAGAGATGGCTCAGAGGTTCAGAGCACTGACTGCTCTTCCAGAGGTCCTGAGTTCAATTCCCAGCAAACACATGGTGGCTCACAATCATCTGTAATGAGGTCTGGTGCCCTCTTCTGGTGTGTGGGAAGCAGAATGTTGTACACATAATAAATAAATAAATTAATTAAAAAAAAAGACTAAGCTACAGAATATTAAGGAATATTTAAGAGAAAAGCAGAACAAACAAACAAACAAATAGCAAGTCTGGGAATATCTGCTTAATATTTTCTCACTGACAAAATTTTGAGGTCCACTCAAGAGGTGATAATTCTGAACATGAAAGGCATGCACAAAGGGAACACACACTCATGGTTTTCAACTTGTAAAAGTCTCTCGGAGAGTTACAGGAGTTAAACCTGCTGGACACAGTGTGACTCGGTGCCAAGTCTGATTTGTGAGGAACATTGCACTGCCAAGAACTCACTGAAGGAGCAATGACTGAGTTACATACTATGTTGAAGCTTACCTTTTTCATATATTCAGTTACTGGGTTCTGCTGCAAGAATTCAGTACTTTCTCTGGTATAAAATCTCTCTGTGTCAGCCAAAAATTGAGATTCAAAGGATTCTTTATACACTGTTAACGTAGGGCCCTTTGCAAATGCGTCATCTTCATTCAGTCCCAATTCCACTAGAAAAAAATATGAGCTATATTTCAATTATCCTATTTTTTGTTATTATGTCACAGATAATACTTTGGTGTAGCATTTGGTTTAAGTTACACTTGAAAGATCAATGTGAAATGGAGGGTTATATGGTAACTGCTATTCACTAGTATTGAAATATACTTGTTTCGATAAAAGAAAAACAAAACAAAACAATAAACTCCAAGATGTATAGCAACAAATAACCTCTATCTAGGCCAGGGATACTGCAAAATTACCACAAGTTCAGCCAGAAAAAGTTCATTTCCAAAAGTGATCTAAATATTGCACTTTCACAAAAATGCAAACCCACTAGGACTTGAACATGTCATTTAATCAGTGTCTCAACCTCAATTTTTCAAGCTGATAGATTTCTGGTTATTATTTAGCTCCGAGACAATCACATTAAATATAAGTATTTACTCATGAAAGCAGCAAAAAAAAAGTTCAATTTTTTCAATAACAATTACCTTAAAGTACAGAGATTAAATAGCTATGATTTATAAAATTATTGCTTAAAAGTACTTTAAAATGGAATAACATTCTTGATATTTAAATGTTTTTAAACAAATGTTAGAGAGCTATCATAGTTGCCATGTGATATGAAAACTGAATAAAGACAAATTATTTACCATAAGATTGTACAACTCCACTAATTAGTCTTGTATTGATCGTTTCTCCATTTCTTTCCTTTTCAATCAGTTTTAAAACAGCATTTGTTACCTTTAAAAATATAGAAAACATATTAGGTAGACACATTACAGGTCACAATGTACCTTACATACCCTTTAAACATTTAGAGCCATTAACTAATACAAGGTAACAAATATTTTAGGGGGATGAGTATGCACATGTGTGTGAGTGCATGTGGAAACCAGAGGACAAGCTCAAGCACTGCTCCCCAGGAGTAATCCACTTTGTTTGGAGCCTCAGGGATCGGTCTGATCCTACTCTCCAGGGCTAGGCTCACTGGTGGGCATCTTATGGGTGCTGGGGATCTACCCACCCCAGGCCCTCATGCTTACATGGCAAGCACTTCCCTGACTGAGCCATATCCCCAGCCCAACAAATACTCTTTAGATAGTCAAAGGCTTGAGAATCAAGACAGAAGTGGAAAATATTTTTAAAACAAAACACACAACATTTCACAGTAGATACCTGTTTATTCAATGGCCTGAACAAACAATCTCTCCATGTCACCAATGCAAGCTGGATGAAAAGGGAAAAAGATGTATTAAATAACTGTATTTCACTATGGTTCCCCAAAACTGGTCAAACGGTAATTTGAATTCTTAATTTTACAAAAATTCCTAGATTATAACGTAGTAAAAAATCTATTATCACAATGAAATCAGAGCCACTCTTTCAAGTTAATCACTTTGTACAGATGTTTACCAGCTCACATTTAACTGTCAAGTTCTAAAAGAACATTCTGATTTAAGGTGGACATTGTATCAGCTTAAAAACCAGTAGTAGACTCACCCTATCAATGTTTTCCCTGGATCAAACCATTTCAACTAGATACACCTGATAAAAGTAATTCCAGTTACTAACACGGTTTCCTAATACATCAAGATAAACAACAGAGAATATAAAAATCTTCCAACTTTTATATCTGGATTGTGTATTTTTAGTGCAGTTTCTTGTACATAACTTACTAAAACCTCCTATTGTACTTATGTCTTCACGTTACTGTGTAAGACATACATTTTTATGTGTACATGGTATATGCTTGCATGTATCTATGGATACACAAACAGATGGAGACTCAAGTGTTCCTGAGCCATCTTATCTCCTCAACCCCTCCTGATAGATGCATTTTAATGTGAATATATAAATACCATGGTCCATTTTTAAGTGTTATACTAAGATTAATTATTGCAAAAATGGTTTCTGAAAGAAGAAAGAATTCATACATGATTTTTAAACTGTTGGGAGAAGTTTAGAAAGTTAAAACAGAACTGAAATTTACAACACTTTAACAGAAACAAGAAATTAATTAAACAAAAATGTCATTAGTCTCCTTCCCAATTTAACTAGAGATAAAATTCAGCTTGTAAAAATATGTATTTTTGAAAATATCACATACAAATTTAATCTATGAAAAGTATTTTCTAAGTAGTGTCTCCAAGAAAATGAATTCCATAAAAGCAATATTTAAATTTTTTGTTTGCCTGTTTTCCCTCCCTATATAAGTAAGCACTGGCTATGTATGTAGATCAAGCTGGCCTCATAGAGATCTGCCTGCCTCTGCATCCTAGAGCTGGGATTAAAGGTGTGTGCCACCAGGCCCAGCATTATTATGAATTCTTGACTGTGGTCTGCCAAAGGGCTTAGAAGACTGAGCCTCACTGTCTAGGAGAGAAGCAATTTGCAGACGTATGCTTAACCCTAATCCTTTTCTCCCGCCTCTTCAGTCCTCAGGCAGGAGTAAAGCAGCAGTGAAAGTACAAGGCTGTGGTTATCAGCTTCTAACAGAACCCCTACACTTTAAAAAATAATTTGTTCCAGCTATTTTCTAAATTACCAACCACATCCTTAGACAAACATAACCCAGCTCTGGATGATTGTCACTTCAAAGGAAGGAAGTCAAAGAGCAAAAGAAGGCAAAGAGGCAAACTAAAGAAATTTCATAATAGGTTGGCATAACAAGTCTTGGTGTCAGAACTTCAACATATTAACAATGAAATCAACTTGGATTCCCTGGGTGATTTGGAAGGAAACCAATAACTTTCTCTATTTAAAAGAATTAATTCCAAAAAAAAAAAAAAAGAGTAGAAACCTTATAATTTGTCATGAAGTCACTGCATGACAAAGCAGCCACATTTGCTAGAGACTCTGGGCCTAAAATAAAACCAGAGGCTGAAACCATAGGCTGTAACTGGCCTACCGAGCTTTGATACAAACTAGCAAATGACTGGAGCAGGCTCTTGAAGCAGTGCACTTGGGACACAGATAGGAATACTATTTCTAGGTGGGGGCGGTGACTGTCCTCTGCTAGAATTTATGGCGGGGCACTGCATTTCCAAACACTAGCTACACTATGTGATGACACAGAAAGTGTGGGGTTTGAAAACAGATTTAAAACATAATGATTCTTGTCTAACGGGGCTGGCTGGCCTGCAATTCAAGAGAGAACCTACTGCCTCTGCCTTCCTAGTACTGGGATTAAAGGCATGTACCACTGAGTCTGGCTGAATCTTAAAGAAACATTATATAGCTTAGTACTTTTTATTTAAGCTTGTTTTAAATGTTGAACAAAGTAGATGCATGGTGAAAAAGCAGGAATGAGCCTCAGGAGTCTGTGATGCTGCTGCAGAGCATACACAAGAACTTTAGGTCAAGTGGTGTCCAAAGGAAACAGAGGAGAACCATGCAGAGTCGTCCTGCAATTCTGAGACAAGGAAAGCACACCAGCCATCCCTTGATGGACAGGGTTCAAAACGTGTTCAATGGGATAAACATAATTTTTTAAATATATTAAAAAGAAAAGCTCAACTCAGAAAACTGAGCCTAGAAAATGTGATTAAAATCATGTAACTAACCAGGTGTGATCCCAGACCTTGGGAGCAGACAGGCATTTCAGCTTGATGCTAGTCTGGTCTCGCAGTGAGTTCCCAGCCAGCCAAGGTTACAGTGATACTCTGTTTCAAACAACCAAACAGAACCTCAAACAAAAGCCTATGTAACCACACAATAAAGTGTCACTGTGAAGCACATCTGGGGCACAGAAACTGAGCTCTGTAAGTGCTAAAAGTCCTGCATTTGAGCTGGTTTTTTTTTTTTTTTTTGGTCTAATTAAATTTGTCAAAAGCAAAGAAACAAATATTGCCATTATAACACAACATCAGAATTTTTGGCTCCAGGGATCTGCCTGTGTCTGCCTCTTGAGCACTGGGATTAAAAACATCCTCTTTTCACATAGGTTCTGGGGGATCATCTCAGGTCCTTGTGTTTACAAGGCAAATACTTTGTTGACTGAGCTATCACCCCAATTTTGTGGAGCTATTTTATCTTTATTTCTTATTCTTTTTCAGACAGGGTCTCATTTAGCTCAAGTTAGCCAGGAATGTGTTATATAGCAGAGAATGACTCAAATTTGATTCATTTTCCTCTATTTCCCAAGTGCTGCGATTACAGGTGTGCCTAGTATACAGACTGAACCCAGGACTTCATACACACTAGGCACTCTGCTAACTGAGCGCCCTGCCCCCACCTGTAGCCCATCTCAATTTCCAAGTTTAGAAGGAGGCCTGAGAATCTGCATCCCTATTGTGTTCCCAGGTGACGTGGATGACACAAATTTAGGAGTCATACTCTGAGAAACCAGAAGGCCTAAAACAAAAACCCTGAAAACTAACAAAAATATTTAATTCAGGGTCTGCTCTCAAATACAGAGCTCTCAGACCAAGAAAGTGCATCAAAGTCCAGTTAAGAGCTTAATCCTTAGATAAGGTACCTGATTATAGTGCTAAAACTCAAGCAGTTCCAGGTAAAGTATGATAAGTGGTCAATTAATTGAAGATAGTTTAAAAGTAAACGCAGAACTGTTTGTTTAACTGTGTTTATTTTACAGCTCCAATTTCTCACCTCTCTGCTTTCTTGCCATAACATATTTTGCTTTTTATTCTTTTTTTTTTTTTTAAACTTACTGAATAGATTTCATATATTCCTTTTCGTCCTTCATCACATTCGCGGCGAACCCAATGTCTATTGAGGTAGGCACAGATTCCATTCAGCACTTTGCTGGAGAATCGGTAATCTTCCCACTGCTGAGTGTAGAACTTCAGTACACTCTCATCCATTAGATCTTCTCCATCCTAAAAACAAGTACACTAAAGCTTTAATGTGACTTGGTTTGTCATATAAGCAAGACAAAACTTACTGAAAAAGCTACCACATCAAAATACACTAACACATATGGCTATAATGGGATATTTTTATTGCTGTGTATGAAAACATGCTAATGTAAATTCTCACAGAACACAAAAAAGTTCACTACCAAATTAAACTGGAACTTTCATTGGTTGAATATGCACATGCAGTCACAGAGTACACCCTAAGTTTTCAGGATGTGTGATTTTTCTTTCTTTCATGCTTTTTCTTTAGTAACTGAACCTAGGGGTGGGTCTAGTGCTAGGCAACTGTTGTACTTTTAATTCAAGACAGGGTCTTGCTAAGTTGCCCAGGCTGCGCTTAAATTCAAGTGTGCAGCCCAAGTACACCTAGAACCTGTGATCCTCTTGAAACCCTGGGATTTTTGGGTGTGTCCACCACACCCAGTGGCAATTTCTTTACTCTGGCTCCCTGTGTTCTCCTGTTTTCTAAGGCTGCCCTTGAACTTTTTTCTGTTCCTCTGCCTCACCTCCCACCCACTGAAAGCCAGGATTATAGGCCAGTGCTGGAATTATAGGTATATACACCTCCATATCTTGTTTTGTTTAGTTTTTAAGCAATTTCTTCTTAAGGAATCTACCTCCACAGCATCTCTATGTTTGACATTTTTCTAGTTTTAAAAAAAAAATGAAACAAAAACAAAAAACGTATCCTCTTAATAAATTATAATGGAAACTAATATACTTATTTTTTAAAAATGAGCTGATTCACAAACTTGTAAACCTACAAAAATATTCATCTTAATTGTGACATTCTTAGGTCTTAATGGCATCTCCATTTAGAAGTGCTAGAGGAAAGCCAGTGGGAGCCTGCCCTGCCCTCCTGCCTCGGTGTGTCTTCAAGTGGAAAGCCACAGCCCAGTAGACCTGTATTCTACAACCATCTATGTAAACATCTGGACACACCCCAACACAACCAAAGGTTTTGTTTATGTAAATGATGTGAATTTTAAAATGCAAAGCTGGCCTGTTCCACGTGTAAAATGCAAATGTGTTGCTGATGGAGCCACAACTGAAAACAGAACATACTTTGCTTACAAGTGCTGCGAATTAAAAAAACAGGGGCTATACAGCAAGACACTTCAAGTTTAAGAACTTTAAAGTAGAATATTAGTTATAACTTGTCAGTCAACTACAATCTGTTATAATGCTTCCACTTAGCTTGTAAAATAATGAAGAAAAAAGCGTTTTGTGCAGCATGCAGAAAACACTCTATACCCTCTTCCTAAATTAAAAAACAAAATAACCTATATATACAGAAGAGACTCAGAGCCTTCCCGGGTGGAGTAGCAACCCTACACTGATTGAAGACATCATGTACAACATCATGTACAACAGCCCACCCAAAGGCTGAGTGTAAGGCCGCCTACTTCCTTTGTTACAGAACAGACCAAAGGCAGAAGGCTAAGAAAAAGATTCATCATTGTCAAACAACTGTTTGAGCTAATGTTTTTAAATCACAGGATGTGGGTAGTTGTATCAATGGCCAATCCAGTCTAGGCCTAGTGTCAGGACACACATGATAGTCATGGCAAAATTGCTGCACTTAAGAAAAAATAAAATAAACCGGGCGGTTCTGGCGCACACCTTTAATCCCAGCCAGCACTTGGGAGGCAGAGGCGGGTGGATCTCTGTGAGACCAGCCTGGTCCACAGAGTTAGTTCTAGAACAGGTTCCAAAACTACAAAGAAACCCTGTCCCGAAAAACCATAAAAATAGAAAAAGAAAGAAAAATTAAAACAAAGTATTTTTATATGTTTTGTATATCAGTGAGACATCTTACCTTGAGAAGATTTGTCAAGTAATTCTTCAAAAACTCCTTCAATCGCTTGTATAACTCCAAGCCAACAAACTGGGCTCCCCCAGGAGTCTGCCCCTTTTTTGACTTGGAAGGAGGGACTCCAGCTCCCCGCGCTTGGTTGGACTGATGCACACTAGTGCAGTAGTTATAGACATGACTTGGACAAAGTTAAGGAGATGACATATACCTTAGATGCTAACAGTGATTAACATGAACATTTCCTTCTGTTTATGTATATTCTCAATATATTGATCAAAACTTGCTAAAAGCTGGTCTGTATGGGTTCCTGCACGCACATGGTAAACATATACTTACTCAGGTTCATGCCCACATATATAATAAAACAGTATCTTTTTAAAAAAATGAAGACAATCCACAAAGTAGAAAATATTGTTAAGCTATAATCCAAGAAAGGACCATAAGTAGAATATATAAAGAACTCTTAAAACACAGTAACAGGACAAATAATTCAATTGAACATAAGATCTAAAAGATATATTAATGTCAATAAACACACGAAAAGTCCTTAATACCATTAACCTCCAGAGGAATGCAAATCAAACCACAATGACTAATTCACATTCACTAAGATGGCTAAAGTTAAAAATAAAATAAGGATTGGCCAGAATGGGAAAAAACAGCTGCCGTACATGGTTAGTGGGTAAGCAAACTGATGCAGCTGCTTTATCAAAGTCAGTTTGGTAACTGTATCAACATAGACACAGATGCACATACAGAGCTGCACTATTCATAATAGCCAAAAAAGAAAACAACCCAAATGCCTACCAACTCATGGAAAAACAAAATGTGATCTAGTCACATATATTGAAATAATTCTATTATAAAAACAAATGAAATGCTTATACATGGGATAAAACGGAAGGTATCTAAAAATACACTAAGTAGGACAGAGCTAGTCATAAGTCATTTTAAATCAAAAATAAAGTACAATGTGACAAAAAATGAAACACAAGAATAGAGAGGAAGCATATTTAGCAGTAGAAATAAAAAAATCTAAAAGGCAGTAAGATAGCTGCCGACAGTGGGTTATGACACAATACTAAGTCAGACACAGACCACAACAGATTCACGCGCTGACTTTTAAACACTGAATCTTTCCCAAGGACCCCTCAAAGTTTCTTTGGCAGGGAAGCTGGCTGGAAGCTAAGCAGCGATCTAGGATTTTCTTCTCTCACAGCTGTTGGGGTTTCCTACTAGCAGTGGGTAGGAAATGCTCTGAGGCAGTGTGGTTATGTTACAGTGCCAAGTTGGAGTCAGGCTCCGAAAATGACCCTACAACTCTTCCAACATCAGTGAAATGACTCGTTTTCTATGAGGTCTTCGGGCTTAACAGGAATGAAAGTGTGTAGCAAGATCCTGTTGGTGGCTCTTGCACAGGCACTCCTGGAGCAGCTGCCCTGCCAGGCCTGGTGAAAAATCCCACCTCAAAGTTTATCTCCAACCACTCACTTCACCGTTACCTAGGAGAGAGGATGCTGCAATGTTTTCCCCATGGTCATCAATGCTGAGGACCCAGGCTGCCTCAAACGGCTGCTGCCCACAGCATTGATACTACTTCTCACGTGCACACACTGGGCAATCAATTACAGAACTCAGATCATTTCTATTTTCTAAGGGAAAGTCTAACTAAAACAACAAAACTAAACAGAGCCACTTTCCATTCACTTTTCCCCCAACTACAAACTTAAAAGTGAAAAGCTGAACTATACCTCCTGTTGAGCTGGCAATAAAGTTCATGAGCAAAGGAGACCCTAGGTTCAAGTCCTAGCACCACAAACCAACCAGAACCGGCTTCCTGCCCTCATCAGCTAGTAGAATGCTTTTACAAAATAACAGCAGCAAGAGGCAGAATATCATTGGTATAATCAGACTGACAAGTCATAAAACAGCTCTCTCTGGTCTGCAATTATATACATTTCTGAAAAGATATATCCCACCAAAGCAAGTAATACACCTCATGGCATATTTCAAAGGCAAAGGCTACTTGCAATTAGCCTGTACTGTGACAAAGTACAGAATTTTTCTTTTTAAGGATTAATTTATTTTTTTATGAGTATGTGTGAGTGCCTAAATGTTGTCTGTGTACCAAGTCTATGCCTGGTGCTTACAGAAGAAAGTACTGAGTCCTTAGAACAAGAGCTCTGGGTCGTTGTGAGCCACTATGTGGCACCAGAAATCAAACCCACTGAGTCATCATTCCGGAAACCCATTTTATAATGTTTAATCTGAATATATACACCATGCATCAAATTTGGAAGGAGAATAGTGAACATACCATATTTACACTAATACAAAACCAAAAAAGTCATGCAGCAATTTCTGTGAAGTATATATCAAGAGTTAAATAAGAAAAATAAAAATCTACCTTCAAATGCATGTTTATACTGAAAGGAAGAGAACTGTTTAAAAACCAGCTCCAACTCCACCACACAATCAGAGCCTCTCTCCACACAGCACAACATGTTTATCACCTGTTTCAAAAGTAGAAGAGTTTATATAAGGTATCATATGAGCATTATTCCAAATCAATTAACAATCTTCAGGGCACTCTGGGTAGCTGGGCACAGGCCCTACTACTGAGGTGCACATCCTTACCCATTTATTACACATCTGGTAACTAAACATACAGATAAGACCAAGGCTGTTTTCTGCTCTTTCTTATTATCAAAATACAAAGAGCCTTGAGCACATAATTTAAATACAACTATTTCTTCAAGGTAGAGTTAAAAGTTAAAAAGCAAATAAATTGGTGAACCATTGTGTACTTTTATCTTTTGAGAAACAGGCTTCTAAATTTCTATCCAGAAATATCATAGCAATACTTCCACCGGCACTGTGGGAGCTTAGCCCACTTTCTCCCTCACATCCCTCACACTGGCTATCAGTTCTTTACAACTACTTTCCGCCTGACGAGGCTTTCTAAAACTCTCACTTTAATCCCTTATTTCTTTAGAAGTCACAAGGTTGAGTATTTTCCCATATTTTTACTAGCTATATTTCTTTATATAAACTACTCCCTTTAGAACCTTAATTTATATTTGCAGCACTGGAATTAATCCAAGACCTCATGCTAGGCAAATGCCACACCATTCACTGTGCTGTATATATCTTCAGCTCCTTTTTTTTTTTTTTTTTTTTTTATTTTTATTTTTTTTATTTTTCGAGACAGGGTTTCTCTGTGGTTTTGGAGCCTGTCCTGGAACTAGCTCTTGTAGACCAGGCTGGTCTCGAACTCACAGAGATCCACCTGCCTCTGCCTCCCGAGTGCTGGGATTAAAGGCGTGTGCTACCACCGCCCGGCTCTTCAGCTCCTTTCTGTTTACTTCACTTAGTTGCCGAGGCTGGCTTTGAACCTGCCTCTGTAGTCCAAGGAGGACTTAAACCTGTAAGGACCCTAGCCTCAGTTTCCAGAGCAACTAGAATCAGACATCTGTGGTGTAGACTTGGATGAAGATGAGGCATATTCTAAAACTTTGGACAAATGCAGACCAAGCAAAATAGTAGATCACATTTGATAAAGTTCTAAAAACGTTCCTGTGTTTAGGTTCATCTGATGTAAGACATGCTAATAGGTGAGCAAAGACTCCTAAAGTACAAGGTGAAACATCTAAATATATTTACTGGTTTAGACAGTTATACAAAAAAGGATGTAGATCATTAACAATCCGTTTTGAAAACAATCTGCTATTTATTCTTTTTGATCTGCTTTTATGTAATTATTTTCTACAGAAGGAAACAGAAATCTGCAGTAGGCAGGCAGAAATAGGAAGCGTCACCTGCAATACTTCTCACCCCAGTATCTACAGAAGACAATGCAGGGAAAACTGCAGATCTGAGTAGAAAACAGCAGCCAACAGTGAGGAGACAACTGCCAGGTGCTGCAGCATTGGGGACAAGCGTGTGCTGCAGGCACAAGAGCTAAGCACACTGGCTGGGTAAGGATTCTAGCCCAAGCGGTATAAATTCTATGCCATCAGAAGACAGGTACACATGCTTAAGTTCTGACTTGCTGAGATAAACGGTCAAGGCTGAACATGGAAGAGACCCTTACAGGATTGCTGGGAAAAAGAAGACTTTAGGAAAACCAGCTGGGAAAACTAGTTTACAGCACTACTGAGAGAAAATAGAAGGGTGGAGTTTTGAGAATTCATTCACCAGGTAAAGGAAAGACATCAGCACAATGTTGCCTCAAGGGACGGAGCTCAGGAAGCCTGACTGCTTTGTCATGAGGCTTTCTTCCCTGAGGACTGGACAAAGGATAGAAGTGGAAACAGCAGAATTCTGGGCAAAAGCTTTGATTGCTCTACCTAATGAAAAAAAATTGTATAAACATAATCTTTTTTTTTGGTCATGCTTGGAATCAAACTCAGAGGCTTGGGCACCTGGATAGACAAGCACGCTACCACCGGGCCCCACTTTCTACTTCAAGGGCCAGCCTGAAACCTACGAGTGGCTGCACTGGTAGAAACAGCTGGACAGTTACGATGTTCTACTGATTCCTTTATTTTAATTACCTTTCATGCATGTAATATTAGCAGACAATGAAATGTTACTGAGGGTCTCATGAAGAAAGGCCCAATTTATGAGTGAGGAAATTTTCTCCTCTGTGTCAAAGGCCTTTCTTGAAATGTGGATCTATTACTCCAGTCTTGTTTCTTGGTTGTTCCACCTGACTCTAGCACTCAGAATGATTTTTACTAAGCTAACCTCTTCCTTCTGGAATGGAGAGAGAACCCAACAGAAGCTGTTCACACTGAAGCAGCCAAGTACAGAGCAGTGGCTTCTTCTGCGATGTAATCTTTGGATGAATGCTTCTAATACTTTCACTGCCTGCTGATGTTCTCTGTTGGAAAATAAACTTAGAGTGGTTTTTTTTTGATTTTTTTTAAACATTAGAATTTTTTAAAAACTAAAAATTTCCTGAGCCGAGCATAGGGTATGTAATAACCTTGAGAAGTGAATACAAAATTTCATTACTTAATTGAAGTTCAAAAGGAAAGAACTCTATTATTTACTCATCTCCCTAGAAAATACTTCCTATTTCTTTAAGAATAGAAAGTTTCTACTTTCTCACAGCTCTATAAAACAAAATAATCTACCAGAAAAAGAATCGACCTAATTTTGTGAAAAACTACA